GGGGGGGGGGGGGGGGGGGGGGGGGGGGAAGAGAAACACGCAGCGGGTGTAAGTAAGGGCAGAAGGCACGCAGAACACCGAGCTGTCATATCGTCAAGAGTCACCATTACGAGGAACCTGGAAGCTACAGCCTCTGGAAAAGTTTTTTTGGGAGGGTCATGCCGCTCCTCATTTGGCTCTGTCAGTCAATCAAGGAGGATCGGGTGCAGACCAGCGAAGAAATTTATTTTTCCGTTGGACGGTGGGATCTGAATATGTGGCGCTCGCCTCTTGATTGATTTAGGGCGACACGTACACGGCGGTGGCAGTTGTAGTCACGTGCGTACGAGTCTAGTATTTTAACGATGTGGAAGAGGGTAAATGAACATCGACCGGTGTACTAACGAGCTATGTACGACGGAACACAGTCGACACGTAGATAGATGTCCCGTTAGTTACAGTAGTGTATACCCACCATAAACCATCCAGTCAACGTCGTATCGTCCTGCCCCGCTGCCTATCACGTGACCATGGTTGTCTTGGGGAGGCGTTTGGGACAATGGGCGCCTGCACCATCGGGGTCAAGGGTTTTAGGCTGGCAGGAAATATTGTTCGTAAACCCGAAGAGTGTGGAACAGTGGAGGTCTCTCTCCTTTTCTCAGCCTTGCGACGTGTTTCGCTGACTCCTCCCTCTCTTCCAACCCAACGAGAGAGGCAGATGAGAGGAAGCGAAAACTCGACAGACAGCCGCTGCTTTGCATCGCTGACAGCCAGTAGCTGCACGGCCGTGCGCGTCGTCGTGACGTTCAAGCCTTGAGCTTCCGTTTCTTGCATAGCTGACAGCCAAGAGTAGCGGCAGGCCCGTGTGCGTCGTTGTGACTTTCTTCTTCAATCCATTAGCTTCTAGAAGGAAGTCAATGTCGACATCATTGGCCAGGTGCAGATCGCCGAGGGCGCTTAGGCTCCTACCGCTGTAGGTCAGTCATCCTTATCGAAAGGCTCCCCAACGCTTGAAGCGCAACGTGGCCTATAGGCCAGTGACGATGTCAGAGGTATCGGGTGTTTCTATCGAAGATGCTGAGCGAAAAACACCGTCCAGTCGTTTCCCTGGTTTGAGGTGATCCGGGATGCGCTAAATAAAGCAATAGGCAGCAAAAATGGCAGCCCTCCTTACGACAAGCTTTTTGAACGAACGCGGAACATGAGAGAGGCCGAAGCGTATGCTGGCGAATCTATCCGTAGTGTGGAGGTCAGAGGGCTCGATAGTAGCATCCTTAAATTAACACCAAAAAAGAGTTTGATCTAGCGAAGACAACACGATAAAAATTACCAAGCAACGGCAGAGATACCCACCGCTAACGCGCGAGCAAGAGAAAGTCAGTGTCGCCACGATAGCCCCTCGAACCGAGGTATGTGCATTTCGCGGGTCATTATGACAACCCTTTCTTGGTTGCGTCGACTACAGTTACGGCAGCTTTCGCTTGAACAATGCTATTTTCTGAGGCGCTCCCACAACACACGCTTGTCACCGAAAGAAAATACTTGCATCTCTCTGGTGTCTCGACACTTACTACGGTGTTGTCGAACAGTAAGAGCTCTTACAGAGTCCTTAATCACGCGTGCTTTCCTGTTGTTGTGGTCAACGGCGAGAATGATCGTGCCAAGGGACAAGAGCCTGCCCCTTCTTCCACCCCAAGCGCACAAGCGACATAGCGGGCTACTGCTGTATCATTAACGGCTGGGGCTATCGCTCAACCCTTGGCCGTTTGATTGGTGGGGGGCAGCCGGGTTCTGCCACAACAGCAGCAGCAGCGGCAGCTGCAGCTCCCTCGACCCCTGTCGTTGGTCTCCGACCAGCACCAACCGTAACAACACCGGAGCCACCGCTCCCCTCGTCGCAGGGAGCCTGCGGGACAGAACCTGCGGCGGAGCGACCCTCTGACGGACTCTCGCAGGCGGCAACCGCTGCTGCCGTTGTGGTGCCCGTTCGCCTCTCTCCGCCGCTTGAATGTTCAGGAGGGGCCGCCGTGGCCGACCCGTGGAACGCAGAGAAGCTCTGCCAGCCTTGACGCGGGCCGGCTTTCTCGATGTTCTTCTTCCGCCTGTAGTGGTGAAGGTGGCACGCAAACATCTTTTCTTGCGGTTCCTGCTGCTGGCGGTTGTGATCCCCCACGCTGGTGCCCCCCTCCCCGGCCCCGTGACCGCGTCTTCCTTTCCCGGCCAAGCCACCACCAAGGCGCCGGTTCTTTTCGCCGCCTCTAGTTGCCTCGCGGAAGGGCTGATACTTGACCTTGCATACAGGCACCGAGATCTGTTCTTTGCCCCGCGCCCCGGACCCCCATCTTGCGGACGCCTCCAGCATGGCTCTCGCCTGAGGCCCGGTCGAGGCCGAGGAGAGGTAGAGAGCCCCGCCATAAAGATCCCCATTTGCGGTGGGAAACCCGCAAACAAAGCCTTCCGGGCAGGTTGGGATCGCGGAAGCCTTGACGGTGTATCAGTCTGGTGGGCCGGTTGATGGTGGTACAGGCAAGGAGGGCCAGAGGCGGGGGGGGGGTCGCAAGGTACGCCTCTTGTATGTCAGGCAGATCAACTCCTGCTGTGTGTGGTCAGCTGCGGCGAGCGTCAGTTCCAGGTCCTCAACATGCCTCTCCCTCAGGCCACACGGTACTACTGTAGTATGAGCAAAGGATGGTGATGGGATGGGTGGACCGGGGTGTCATATTGTGGATGCAAAATTCTGACAACAAAGTGTCAGAAACATGCCGCCGTTCGGCCTTCGGGCAGAATTCGAGAAGTGTTGCCACGTAAGGCGGACTGACCTAGAATCCATTGGCGGCGACGGGGCGCGCCCATCGCGAAGGGGGCAAGTACATAGTACATCACAGAACGCGCCACCATTTGAGACAATCATTCGCGCAAACCCCCGCTCCTTACTTGATCCGTGGCGAAACCAACTGGAACTTGATAGTTAATTGTAGTGCGGGTAGGGTTCAAGTCCGGAAAATCGAATCCTCAAAACTTCATTGCGTCGCCCCGGTGGGCTATCAGTGGCGAACTTCGTAGTAAAGAGTAGCAGGTTGGAGTTCGATTCTCTGCCTGGGCCAAAAAAGAACATCTCTCGCATTACGGGTGGGAAGTTATTGATACATACATGGAGTGAGTATTCAAACTTCCACTCGATGGACTCTTATGAACGTAGTATCACACTCTGACCTTTTCTCTTTTCTCGCGCCAAAAAACGTTAAAAAAAAAAAACGAGCACCGCAGGAGGTGGCAAAAAACAACTTCTTCTGCGTGACCCCGGCTGATGCGTCAAACACATACCCCGTAAGGTGCGTAGATAGCTCGGACGAGCACATAACTCACGAGTACCAGCGTGCCGGCGAGACCATGGGTTGTACTTGTTGGCAGTAGGACTACTGTAGACTACAGCAGTAGAGTGCATCGAGCAAGCATATCATCATACTTGTTTGTACATTTATTTTAAAATTTTCGCACTTACCACTTTTGGCGTGTTTGACCCGCAAAGGTTACAGCGATGTGTAAACGTGGAGCAGGAATGGGAAACGTATGTGTTTGACTCACCCGAAGGAAGCACGCCCGGGTCTTGTCCGTGCACAGAGTGAGGAGCTGGAGGTTTGGTTTCCGTCGCACGATCTCGCCTCTGGCGGAGGATCATATTTATTTACAGACAACAGCACAGCAGTAGTGCACTACTGACTGCCCTGCTGTACTCCTCTAGGAGTGCAAGTACACTTTTTCTCTTTCTTTGCTCTTGCGACCGACTGTACTTGTTAGTATCGGCACCACCTGCCGCACCACGTTACGACGCGCGTATACGGCACGAAAAGAGGAGGCGCGCTGTTGTTACGTGTGGTTGTGGTGCAGCAGGGTCAAGCACACGCTTAGGGGGGCACCGCGCAATGGTAAAACATTATTGAAGATACTGATACCCGCGGTGCTCTGCGAAACCGATCGAAAAAAAATGCAGAATGGATCGTCCGCCCTCTCTCTCCTCACCTGTCTCTCCCCACATCTTGCCAGAGCATCAATTTCAACTACATACATCGCACCAGCGCCTACGAGAGAGCCCGCAGCGTTGGGTGCTAGCAGCAGAAGAGGCAAGAAAACAAGAAGAAGCGAACTAAAGCAAGCAGCCCCTCGTGAACGCTCGGAGCGGCAGTAGCAACGGCAGAGGCCACAGCAGCCATCTGTGTCTCTCCAAACCAAACGGCAACACCGCGCCGCATTGCAGAAATTCTTACAAGCAGGCGCTGCTGTCTTTCCCTCCCCCCTGTTTCTTTTTTGCTTTGTTCCTTTTGTTGCCCAGCTCGTCATCATGAGAGCTTCGCACATCCTCGTCAAGCACCAGGGCTCCCGACGGACGGCTAGCTGGAAGGACGTCGACGGCGTTGTGATCAAGACCCGGACCAAGGTGAAGGAGGAGCCTGTCTGAAAAGTTTCGATTTTTTTCCCGCTTTTCTTTGTCGTCACTGCTCTCCGATCCAATCATAGTGGATGATGCGAATGTGCATGATGCACAGCAACAACAGCAGTGCGTCGGCACCTTCATACACCGCACCGCTCCCTCTGTCTTTGGGGTCCGACGTAACACGCCGCCACACCCACATTCCACCGTTCGTGCTGGTGCCGACAGCAGCGCAACGCCTTCGTGCAGCCTCTGACTCCGCTTGAAATTTCGTCCGCGGCCCTTGTACCATGATGTACCTACCACCCATGGGTAACAGTTTTTTCCTTCGCATATGTTTTTTTGAGAGGTTGATTTTGGGCTCTTGAAAATAGAGAATTCGGTGAACCACACGGTAACCCCTGGACAAGCACATCAGCTAAAGTACAAACGACCACACCTTGTGCACGACACACGGGGGTGGCTTTGCAACGCGCGCCTGGTCTGAAGCATCCCTTTTTCTGGCGTCTGCTGTCCAATGTTTTCTTCTATCTCTCTGTGCACGTTTGACTTTTCCAATCGCTTCTTGACGTGCGAACAACACGCGAACAGCAGCAGCAGCAGCAGCAGCAGCGTCGGTCTCATATCTTTCTCCCGAAGGGCCACGGCGGTTGTACTCCTCAACAACCGCCTCCAAGCACTTTGCGGAGTTCGAACCGGTCGGAATTATACACAAACAAGCAAACAAGTAGGAACAACGCCGGATAATCATTTTCGGTTATGAACCGGAAGCGGCCGCCTCTCTCCTGTGTTCGATCGGCTGACGCACACGTCGGAGAACGTCGCAGATATTCAACGAGAGATGTGGAGATGACACCAGAATAAACACACACACACACAATGCACAGCAGTTAGCGCGGTCGATGCTAATAATAGTAAACACAAACACGCTCGCTTACATAGGCGGCAGCCGTGTGTTTGCGTGAACAGCCTGAGGGTTCGTCGACAAGGCGTTTTTTTTTTTTTTCTGCTCTCTCGGTCCCTTCCCCATGGTCTCTGCACATACACAACAGGGTTGATCGCTTTCTGCTTGATAGCCGTGGGTGGTCAACCTCTCGCATATATGCACTCGTTGAACAAATGAATTGAGGTTGTGCTACTCTTCGCAGCGTGCGGAGTGTTTCAGCCTGTTCAACAGAAGGGTCACGGGGTCAAAGCGATTTGATCTTGAGAGTGTTGTGAAAAAAAAGGCAGCAGCGTGGGCGGGCGTGAACGAACAGGCCCCTGCGTCCGTGGCGTGTCGCGTGTCGCGTCACAAAGAGAAGAAAGAACAAACGGCGGAAGTCTT